CCCACCACCACCCTTCCAACAAGCAAGCTGCACTTTCTACATTGGTGCACAGGGCCAGAGCACTGTGTGATCAAGACAGCCTAAATGCGGAGTTGGTGCTCCTGAAGGATGTATTCAAGAGGAACGGATACAACAACCGGCAGACCTACAGAGTTCTCAACCTTCAGCCCAACATCAGCCGGCCTGAAGACAAACCGGGCTCAGTCGCCTTCCTTCCCTATGTCGGGACCATATTCAACCGTATCAGCAGAGTGCTGTCCCGGCACAACATCAAAGCAGTGGGTCTGCCTCCATACAAATTATCCAATTTCCTCCGGCCGGTTAAAGACAGCCTGGGCCTAAGGACACCGGGCGTATACAGTATCCCATGCGAGTGCGGGAAAGTCTATATTGGGCAGACAGGCCGCTCCGTGGACACGAGTTTGAAGGAGCATCAGCGGCACACCCGTCTCGAACAACCGGACAAGTCGGCCGTAGCTGAACACAGCATCGAACTGGGACACCGCATTCAGCTTCAGAATACCTCCATCCTCGCCACCAAGACGCGCTATATGGATCGCATCATTAGGGAAGCCATTGAGATCGAACTGCATCCAGGGAATATGAACAGAGAGGATGGNCTTGGAAACCTCTCATCTGTTTTCTTAGAAAACACCCATCGGGATATGACGCCAGATCCAGAAGGCCACACAGGCCATGACCAACCAACATAGCAACCACCCCCACCCCCCTCAGCTTACGGATTAGTGCCCAGCCTTTAACCTTGCCTTTCTCTCCCCTACACAAAAACACGCTTGTCCCAGCTCCCTTCCCCTACCCCTCCCACACTACTGCTTTCACTTGTATACTTGCCCTTCCCCCCTACACTCTCTGCTCTCACATATCTGTGTATTTCCACACAGTCTGCTTTTACCGGTTCTCACGGTCTCTCCGCTTGCAGAATTCTTATATTTTTTCTTCTACCCTGAAGATGGAGGCGATACGTTCCTCCGAAACGTCGGTTAACACCACATATACACGGTGCCAATTCCCAGAAGACTGCTTTCTTCATAGTCACCGCCGTGAAAGCCTCAAATCTTACATCCATTGTAATGTTTTAATACATGGCTTAATTGCATGTGCTGTATTATCATATTCCATGCTTTATTGTACAGGCAGAGCTGCGCATTGGTGTGCTGCCAACACATCTGTCATATGATGCACCATGGCCAGTAAGGAAGGTCCCACTGCGCTGCACACCCCACTTTGCAACATACCATTTGGAGAGCAAGACGTACTGTGTTGTGACAAGTCTGGCTGAACCCACCAATAAATACTACAAATTCAATGGGGAGGACAAGGTCAGTATATTTCTTGCACTAATCAGTTTATCCCTGTCCCATATCTGTATTATTATGACATATTAACCCACTGGTGATATGCTGGTGACTTATTTCCAGCTGGTTAAAAATAAACCACTGATGTTTCATTAGTCCGTATCTCCCCCCCCCCATTAAGTGGTAGCAAATTTGGTATGCCATGTTTAGCAAATGAAAAACAAGATATTGTAACGTGTTTACGTTACCGAAGACGCCGTAGAGATGGTTAATTGGGTTTATTTAACAATCTACAAATAACGGCTACAATTAATTATCACAATATCACGGGTTTCCACACTTTACAAACCCTACAACAAATCTCTTAACACTGTCTTCACTTGTCTTCACGTACTACTAACGCGGGAGCTATACAAGTCTCCCTGAAATACACACTCCNCCAGGTTACGGGGGCTCGGCTATCTTCGGCTCCGCTCGGCTCTCTTCGGCTCCGCTCGTGACGTCACCGCGCGTTGCGCATTGCGGGGTGATTACTCGCCTATTACGCGAGCGCTAAGTTACTGCTACGTGGAGCTGGGGCGGTAGGGATCAACATGTCACAATATTTTCTTCCCACCTTCCTCCATATTTTAAGAATTACAAACTGGGCGTCACCATGAATTCATATGCCAAATTTTTTATATCAATTTTTTATCTATTAAAGTTTTACCAGTTTGATGCCAAAATTTGCTGTGTGCCCGTCCCCCCCAAACTCAAATTGTATGTGTGCCAAATGGGTAATTTTGATGTTGTGACATGTGAAGCCAGTGCTAGGCAACAGCTGCAAAACAAGTAACTGTAAACAGCCATTTCTAAATAACAAACAAACATGTTTCTATGGCAGTGAGAGAACAGCAATAATGGAAGATATTTTCCATGCAGTCCATGCCGAGGTGATATAACCAGGACCAGTTAGCAGTAGCAGTCAGTCAGAGAACAGCTGGAGTTCGGTCACTGTAGCTGTTGCTATTGGAAGCTGGTGGTTGAGGCTGGGGACAGTTTGGGAACCCAGAGGAAGGGGTACATCCACTGTTGGAAGCCGCTGCCAAGCAACAGCAGTAAAGCCATGACTGTGGACATAAGTATGTGTGTATGTGTAGTAGTGAACTATAAGTTGTAGTCACATGCTCTATGAAAGTGTGCAATATATCCGGTCATCAATCTGAAACCTGTCTATAGACATTCTGTTATGTGACAGCTGGTGTCGGAAGTTGGATCAGATTGATTTAATGATCGGACTGAATTGCTGAACTGAAAATGAAATCAAATGTCTCCCAGATGGATATCCACCAAGCCAAAACCAAGTAATCATGAGGAGTTGATAACTGCAGTGATAGCCAGTCCAGTAAGGATGGAAACCATGGGGGAAAAATTGAAGGTCATGGATTTGAAGGTGAAACCAGAATAAATTGAAGGCACAGTGGAAACTGACAAGCTTTAAAGGACCAGTCTAGCGACTAACATCTGGCTGTGAGGCACCGCGGACGGCTGAAGAAACGGCCTTGGCAGAAGGTGGCCATCAGCAGTTGACCCACCATGCCATTCCTGCACTGTAAGGGTCACGTTCATGAGGGACTAGGCAGGGACATTTTTGCAAGAGGAACTCATAAAGCATGAACACCTGTGAGGAGATGATGGACATGCCAGGAATGCAGCAATGGAATATGAGACTGAGACTTAAGGGAGCAACTACAACTGAGGAAGGAGAGCACATCCCACAGGATCTTCAGGAAAACCATAGAACTGGAGATCGAAAAGCAAATAGTCAAGCCTTCAACTGGGCTGTGGGTAGTTAGTGATTGGACATTATGGAGGGGCTCAGCACCTCCATAATGAAAGCCCAGCCCGTGGAAAAGAAGAAATAGCAGTATGCCTGTAGGCTATTCAGAACGTTAAGGAGGAGGGAACAGTGTGGCATGTAGACCCATTGCTAGGCAACAAGTGCAAAACAAGCAGCTGTACAAAAGTCACTGCTAAGTAACCACCTCACAAACAAGCATGTTTCCAAAACCTGTCTGTAGTTGCTCCATCGCATGACAATATTTATGGCATTGTGCACTTCATTATAACACTTTGCGGACCGGTGGCATATTTTTATGCCCAGCACTTTTGCCGGACCTGTGGCTTATTATTATGATTTTAGGACACATTATGTTGAAACACACTATACCTTGCACTGGCGCCAGGCAGACGCATGGTGCTTGATAGACCTCTTGAATGTTTGCTTTGTAGTCAGTAACATGATCCCGCTGTTTATGTCCCAACTGTTTTCCTTTAACACTCCAAAAGAAAATGCCTTTGTTCATCTTCCAGCTGCATGCACCGGGCAGGAAGTTACTAGTGCAAAAGTTTTCTCGGAGAACAAGAAATATCTGACTTGTTCTTCGATGAGCTGTCTGACGTCCCTTGTGAGTCTGCTAGTGATAGCGACTCACAATCTGATGGTGAGTGTGGCAGGGGTAAACAAAAGATTGTGGCCACAGACAGTGAAAGTGAAATTGAAAGTGAAAGTGACGGTAGCTCCGACAAAAGTGAGGGTAGCAACATTACGGGGACAACCACATGGCGAAAAGTAGACAAAACGCCTGCTTTGAGACAGTTTGCTGGAAATCCAGAGGTGAAGCAAATACCATCGGACCCAACACAAATGTCTGAAGTAGCAGAACTCTTTTTTTGGAGCTAGTTTCTTTGACCGGGTCCATCAACTTCCACCCCATGCAGGCCTCATGTGGACCCCCTGGGCAACTCTCGGCTGATATGCGGAAACATACCCTTGTGAAAATTGTGAAGAGTGAACATGCCAAGGGGAAGCAGCCTTCTAGGTGATGCCATGTTTGCACAGTACACAACAAAAGGAGTATGACTGTCTACATGAGCAAGTTCTGTGTAATGCCACTTCACAAAGGGGAATGTTTCCAGAAATATCACACTCTCAAGCACTTCTAGGAGCATTGGTAAGTGTTCTCCAAAAATTTTAGTTCATAAAATTAATTAGGAGATTTTATATCAATTTTTAAAGTGAACAGTGCACAAGTTAGGGTAGTAGGTTTAAAAATGCCGGTCCCCAGGGTGATTTAAATATTTCAATCGCCGGTCTGCAAAGTGTTAACGCACTGTGGACCAGTATGCCTGTAAAATTAAAAACCCCAGTTCCTAGAAGTTCAGTAGTGCTCCATGGAATCAGATCTCTCACAGCAAGAACCTTTATACAGTGGAGCATGTCAGAAACAAGACCAGAGATAATGGAAGCAAATTTGTTTTCTACATTGATACAGAATCAAATAAAAAGGAATTGTGTGCAGATCTCACAGCCATCAAAGAAGAGACCCAAAATATTTATGATTTTGTAAGAAGTGTTTAACCTTTAACGTCCGAATGGCACATATATAGGTTGCAAGCAGCAAAACTGGAGTTGGCCGAATGATGTGTACATAGGTCGCAGGACACATGCTCTCTTTGGGAGTGCTGGCAGTTTGACCTTGGGTTGGAAACCAAAACATACCTACGTGAGGTCATGTCAGTGGTTCATTCCTTAGCTCTGAACAAAGAAATTGTTTATCACGGTACTGGTTTCGATACTATTTACGTTTAGATATGACTGTTTATGACCTGGTCAGCCAAATACAGCCCAGCCTTGTTTCAAGAACTGATGAAATATTTATCGGTGCTTGCATAAGAGCACTTGCAGAGCCTTCAAGGAAGTCTGACGCATTCAAGGATTGGTTTTCAGTGGCGTATTATCAGTCAGGAAGTCAGTGTCAGATTGTCTAATATTTCTTTATCAGTTAGAAAGTCAGTGTCAGACTGTCACATATTTTTTTTATATATCATTTTTATTTTGCGTCTTTGAAGAGGTATAAACCCACTGAGCCAGTATTACTTTGTGAGTAAAAGACATCCTCACCACTGCGACTTTCAGTATGTGTCTGACTGGCACGCTTTTCGACTAGTATTATAATTACTTTGCATCACTATTTTGCGAATATTACCAACAGGTGAGAGTGTCGCTTTGTCAATCAACATAATTTATTCGATTTTGCTAGAAACCCCCCCCTCCTCCAGGATGATTCTTCAATCACACAAGCCGAATATCATGGTCAGTGGCGTTTCTAGGGGGAAGGCCAAAGTTATCAGGAGGTCCAACTGAGTTGACTGGAGGTGAAACATTCACAACACTGGCCAACCAAAGGGAAACAAAGTCGTTGTGTGTTTCGCTAAATAAGAAAAGCAGGAGCACTCTCTTCTATTGTAAAAAGTGTGATTTTTCTCTGTGTGAAGTGGACTGCTTCGAGAAGTGTCACACGTGTCAGTGTGACTATCATAGTGAAGTGACTGTGAACTGAAACTGTGAGGTGACGCAGTTCAAACTCACGTACAGTAATATTATTGTATTATTGATGTGTTCCAGTGAATTCAGATTGCTCCTGGCTTTTCTGGGCCTTGCTGATAAGATAACCTAAAGCAACACTGAAAAAGAATGGTGATAAGACACCTCCTTGTTGTGGACCATTTTGAATAGCGGAAACATCAAATAAATGTTTATAAATCTAACCGCTTTTACAATGTAGCCACGCTTTTGGAGCCACCTTTAAGCACACTTCCCATACTTCATCACATATACACTTCACTCACTTCCCTTTTCACTTTAGGATTAACCATTACTCAGTTGCTCACCTCGAGTCATCTGATAATGGCTCCGATGTATTATATGGATATGGAGCCATGCTGGGTTGGGTTTCACTTGTTAAACAATCCCTTACCTTATTGTAGATTCTCCCTGAGGTTACTGCAACTGGGTCGCCCTATAGTTGCTGCAGATATCAAACTCTAAAATCCAGACATCGGAGTCTTGGGTGCCATTTCCAGTCAGAGAACACAGGATCTTTCTCAGGGCTTTAACACCACCTTGGTTCCAACAAAAGAGTCAACAAACCCAAACAATAATGTTGCGAAATACTTAATACTTTATTCAGATTCTCACTTTACATAATTAACTATACTGATGGCTCTGATTTGGTATAGTTCTTTGTGTGAAACATTGAGAAGCCAGACAGTAGCTGACAGGAATAATTCTTCCACCTGTTTATGGATTCCTCTAGAAAAAATTCTTGTGGTTGTCTGCGCAACCATTCATGCACCACCTGCCGTACCTCTTCATCAGAATGGAATTTCTTTCTTCCCATCACCCTCTTTGAGTGGCCCAGACATGTGGTAATCTCTTGGGGCTAGGTCTGGTAAGTATGGTGGATGTGGAAGACACTCAAAGTGCAAGTCTTGGATTGTTGCAACTGTTGCATGGGCAGTATGGGGCTGAGCATTGTCATGTTGCAAAAGGACACCTCTAGTCAATAGTCCACGTCGCTTTCATCTGACTGCAGGTTGAAGATGATTCTTCAAGAGATCTAAATATGAGGCACTGGTGTTAGTGTTCCCTGAGGCATGTAGTGCTCCAAGAGTAAGCTTCGTTCGTCCCAAAAGAGAATCAGCATAATCTTCCCTGCAGATGGCTGAGTCCGGAACTTCTTGGATTTTGGTGATGAGGAATGACGGCATTCCTCGCTCGTTCTCTTTGTTTCCGGTTGCTAGTAGTGCACCCAAGTTTCATCGCCAGTAACGATTCTCGAAAGGAAGCCATCACCTTCTGCTTCAAGGCGCCACAGAAGTTCTTCACAAGCGTCAACACATCATCGTTTCAATTCTGGAGTCAGCTGCCATGCCACCCACCTTGCAGACATTTTGTGAAACTGGAACACATCATGAATGACATGGTGTGCTGATCCGTGACTCACGTTAAGAATTTCGGCTGTTTCATCCACCGACACTCAGTGATTCTCCATCACTAGGGTTTCAACTGCTGCAATAGACTCAGGGGTCACAACTCTGTGTGCCTGACCCGAGCGAGGTGCATCTGCCACAGATGTCACACCATTTCTGAATTTCCTACTCCACTCGTACGCTTGTATCTGTGACAAGTATGCGTCACCATACTGAACCTTCATCCATCCATGAACTTCAATCAGTTTTACACCTTCACTGATCAAAAAACAAATGACAAAACATTGTTTTTCTTTCATGCATGTACATAGTGGAGCAGCCATCTTCAAACCAGCACTGTGATGGCGTTCTGTTTGTCTGCATTATACTGCCACCCATAGGATACTCTTTATAGCATTGGTAACATGTCTGCCAACTTATAGGACAATGGCACGATATTTTGAATTTTTATCTCAGTTTCACAGTTTTCATTTGACTCACCTATGTATTAACCCCAGTATGTTTGAATTGTCACCAGTATATAAATAACAGAATTATTTTTAAAATGGACTCTAGTAACTGTCTAATGATAGGCCACGCCATAGCTGAAGCGGTTAGTCACTAGCTTCCCACCGCAGCAGCCCGGGTCTGGTCAAATGGGATTTGTGGTGGACAAAGTGGCACTGGGGTGGGTTTTCTCCCAGTACTTCAGTTTCCCCTGCCAATCTTCAATCCACCAAATTCTCCATCATAATCACAAGGGGCAGGTACAAGAGGCCAATCAGTGGCCGCCGTGCTGAGTGGACCCAGCGAAACTATCTAATGATCATGTAACAGTATACATTACTAACTGATAGTGATGCACCCTGTTTTCTGAAGTGGCATGAGAATACAAGTCTTACATATTCTTCATTCACTGCTTAGCATCCTGTTATGTACATCACTTCTATATAAATAGGTCCATCGATCGCAGCAGTTTTACACTATTAATAAACAACTGATTGACTCAAATTGTCAATAAAATCAGTCTATTAAGATGATCTTTCATTATGTGTCTTGGTGCTTTATGACCATCATTAGGCATTTATAAGCAGCAAAATGTGTCCATGTTCATTAGTAGACTGTGTCACCCATTGCAAATAGTCTTGTTATATATTTTTTTTATGTAGAATTACAGTGTTTAAATATATTGAGATACTTGTCTAAAATTAGTAGACCTTATTTAAAGTTATTTTTCTAAAAATTATCCTGTTATAGATAGTGTGACATATTTGCGCTATGCAGGACACCCCACCTTCCAGCGGTGATGTAATAGCATCGGAGCAACTACTGCTGCAACAGTAAACAGGCCAGTCAACACTCTGTTCCCCTCCCCCGCGGTGATGTAACGGGGTATACCGTGGTTACTACGCAGCTATAAACAACTCAGCAGTGTTCCCCAGCAACGCCTGTAAACACGGCGTCACACAACAGGGGAGCTCGTGCAATGACTGTTGTTGTTGTTGTTGTTGTTGGAGAGGGTGGGTTTCCCCATGCACTTAGACCAAATATTGGTCCATTGTGCATCCCCCTGTGATATTCTACCAGTCTCTATTCCCTACTGGCACTGGTGCGTGCCATCAGTCCCGACTCAGCCAGCGCGTTCAGCCTCTACTGGCTCAGCTGTATCTCGATGCTTCCCCCATCTACCAGAGGCGTTAGAGACTACTGTTGGGCAGGAAATATCCTTCAATTTGGCTCAGAGTCCCCTTGGGACATGAGGTTCTTTTACGTGCCGTAAAGCTACGACACGGGAACCACGGCTTAAAGTCCCTCCCGGAGGACTTGTTCCCTGAATTTTTCCGCCCTTAAAAATTCCACGACCTCCACCAGGTTTGAACCCGCATACCTTGAGTCACGAGGTAGGAACATTACCCCTAGACTACGGAGGCCGCTTGCAATGGCTGTTGCTAGGCAGTCGGTAAACACGATGTTACGCAACAGGGGTACCTATCACGTAACTGTTTTCTGTGTTGTCCGTGCTGAGCCTAAATAAGGAGCAGTGAACACTGTTCAGTAGTGAGTGAGTAGTGAGTTACTAGAGAGAGAGTAACCAGTCAGTTGCAGTCTAGCATTTGCCGGAGTGAATGTAAGCATTAAGTGTGATACTGCTGATGGCAGTAGTTGTGTAATTGTGAATTGTGTAATTGTAAGAGCGAATGTTCAATAAATTTGCTAGAACCAAGATGGCGTGAAGTTATTTGTCACATTATATACCCAACACGTGACAAAATATAGGGAGTTTTTAAGGTGGACTGGAGTAAGGGGAATGGTGCATGTATATATAAAGTATTTTTTAACTTTTTGCCCTTTATGGGTACATGGGTATTATAAAAGTGTGCACTATTGGTGCTAATGGTCGCATATGGTTTTTTTTTGGGGGGGTGGGTGTTAAGCAGTGTATTTTTAATTTTTGATCCTTTAGAGTAATTGTTGATGTTATGTGAGTGTATGTTGTTGGTGGTCATGGCCCTGTTCTGTCTTGTTTTGGTGGTTTGTGCTTTTTTGATGTTCTGTGGTAGGCTCACTGGTCATGTTCTTATTTGTTCTATACTGATTAAGCCATTATGTGTGTTAATGGTACTACTTATGAGTTTTTGTTGTATGCTGATGTCTTGTGGTAGTTTCATGAAGTTGTTATACAATATAAATTAACCACACTAGATACACAATTAGATACAGCACCACATCAGTAGAAGCAATGAAACTACACTTCAACAGAAGACCAGGAAACAGTACCATAAACGAAACTTCCATATGCAAATAAAAAATGACCAATGAGCCTACCACAGAACATCAAAAAAGCACAAAAGCAAAAGCACCACAAACAAGATGGACTGGTGCCATCACCAACAACATGTACTCATAATGTCAACATTTACAGTAAAGGATCAAGAGTTTGAAATACCTCACTTAACTCCCCTCCCCAAAAAGAAAAACCCCATGTGCGACCATTAGCGCAAACACTGCACACCCATGTAACACCCACATCCCCCAAAAGGGCAAAAAGTTCAAAAACACGTTATATATACACACACACACACCATTCCACCTTGAAAACCTCCATACATATAAGTAACAATTTTAAATAAGCTTGACTAAATTGAGACAAGAATCTCAGCATATTTAAACACTGTAATTCTATGAAGAAAGCAGTCTTCTGGGATTTGGCACTGTGTATATGTGGTGTTAACCGACGTTTCAGAGGACCGGTTCTCACGGTCTCTTCGCTTGCAGATTTCTTATATTTTTTCTTCTACCCTGAAGATGGAGGTGATACGTTCCTCCGAAACGTCGGTTAACACCACATATACACGGTGCCATATCCCAGAAGACTGCTTTCTTCATAGTCACCGCCGTGAAAGCCTCAAATCTTGCATACTGTAATTCTATATGAAAGATTTTACATGACAAGACTATTTGCAGTGGATCTGTTGTGGCACAGTCTACTAATGAATGTGGACAATTGTGTTGGTTATAAATGCCCAATGATGGTTGTAAATGACCGAAACATATAATGAAATATCATCTTAATAGACTAACTGATTTTATGGGCAGTTTTGAGTCTATCACTTGTTTACTAAAAGTATGAAATTGTTGTGATTGACAGACACATTTACGTAGTAGTCAAATATTCTTGTTCTTCCTGTTTAATACAAACTCATTCATTTTGTCTTTCAGATGTCTCCCTTCCCCTCCCCCCTAAAATACTGATTAGCTTCACATCTTATGTCAAAACACCTCATTCACTTCATCTCTCTTATTGCCTTATAGCAGTTTGTCTTAAAATGTTGCCCATGTTTCAGGAATTGACAGTGGAGGAGCGAGATGACCGTTTCCCATTTCCAGCACAGGAGCGGTTTAGTATCTTACTATTCTCACCTGTGTCATGGGAGGTAAGCCCCAAACAGCGTACTGTTGTGGGAAGGACAGCTTTACATAGTATTGTCATGTGTATGAGAGACTATGAACTTGATTTGGATTGATAACTGGATTTATTGAACATTTACAGTTCGTAACTACAAATAACTATAGCACTATCGCTAATTTACACACTCAAAAATTCACTACAGCATGCAGTAAGTCATCTCAGTCTGCTGTGTCTTCACCTCTTGTTGCCTAGTAACGTCTTCCAGTGCCATAGCTTCGTCAGCTTGAGTGTTCATGTCCTAATTGGCCAGTGACTATCTGCCAACTAACTTAACTCTAGACTTGTCCTGCTTGTAACACCTCTACACTGACTGCACAGAAAACACCTTTTCCAGCAGCTCTTCTGTTATTGCATCATGCAGCTGTCACATTGACCACATAGAGAACCCCGTTTCCCAGTTAATTCAGTGGTGCATGTTAGGAATCTGCTGCCTAGCAATGGGTGTTGTTTATAGAGTCGTTACTTAACAACAGGTCTACGTGCTATACAATATGCAACAGGTGGCCTGGCATAGATAGAGAAAAGAATTAAATGTACCACACATTTTCTTGATATCTTGTATCATGTAACTGCTTTTCTGCTTTTATATGTATGTAATGAGGACACAGAATGACAGTTTTGTCATTTTGCCCACCCTAGTAGTACTGAGTGTGCATTGGACTCCATAGTCCATTGTATATATTATAGGCTTTCGTGAGACTGCCTCTTTCATTTCAAGTTGAGAATTTGGAAGAACTTTTAAAATCGAGACAACAGTTTTCTGCAGTATAAACATTTTTTCTATGGTAATTTGTAACACTGTGCACTTCTTTATGGTGCACTAAAGTGTACTACAACATGAACCTGAATGAAAGATGATTCTGAAGCAAGACAACTGCCGACTAGGAAACATATCTGCAGAGAAAAAATAATTTTATGAATTAATGCTACAGTATTACTACAAACATGTGAAAGGAAACAAACATTGTAAAAGATGTAATACATGACGTTATTGAGTTAGGTCCCTTCATTAAATCACTAGTCTTTATTCAGCTTTCTCAGTCTCTGTTCACCATTCCTATTGTCTGCCCCAGCTTCATTGTCTTTACAGTACCTACATTCTCTCCCTCATCTGTTGCTCTCACACTCATGTTTCCGTCAACATTCCCAACTTATCATGAGTGCCATCAAGTTAATCAGATATACAGCTCTTTTTAGATCCTTTCACTGTCACTTCTGAAGAGATATATTGTCATGATCTTGAGCCACTGGCACAGTGGGGTTACACTGGACTTATTTTCCTGATGTCAGAACATGTCCCCCTGCCAAGAGCCATTTGAAATACAGTTGTTTCAAGGCTTATTCACTGCATGAATTGCAGTTTGGATATCCAATGTTAAGTGACTTTTAATGCATCCAGCTGAAGCATTTCTCATTTTGTCAACAGTTCTCATGACCAGCAAACTTGTAACCAATCCCATGTTAGTCTTTTATTCACCTTTCCCTTTCTTTGACACTAGTGCAGTTTTTCATTTCACTATCACAATTGGTAGTAGTTTCATACTAGGCCGCGCCATAGCTCAAACAGTTAGTTGCTGGCTTCCCACTGCAGCAGCCCGGGTTCGATCCCAGGTCTGGTCGAGTGGGATTTGTGGTGGACAAAGTGGCACTGGGGCAGGTTTTGTCCTAGTACTTCCATTTCCCCTGCCAATCTTTATTCCACCAATTGCTCCACAATCACCCTCACTTATCATCTGGGGCTCGTACAATAGGCCAGAAGTTGCCGCAGTACAAGGGACTTAGTCCCACCCCATTAGCAATAAAAAAAAGGGTTTCGTACTTCCTACCAGCTCTACAAACTTTAGGTTCCTTATATCCTCATTGCCTGACATCTTTATGACAAATCTTGCACCTACAATATCAATGATGGAACTGGATAGCATTCCAAAATACATGGGCATTTCATTGACATTGCCTTGAAGTGTCATGCTGACTTCTTTCAACATGAAGGCCACTGCTATAAAACAGAACCTGTTCCTCCACATAACTTGAACACCACCCTGAACTAGACTTAAAATTTCAGCCTTTCACTGAGTAGTAATGTTGCACTAAACTGACATACCATTCTGTCTTTGAATCTATACAGTCAGTTTTCACGTCAAATTGGCATAAGTTGTGGCTTTTGGTTTCTGCCTTCAGATATGTGCCTTAGGAAACAACTGTATATTATTGCTTCTGCATGTTTAATCACCACAGCCTGCAAATACAAATCAGAATTGCAGTGCCTGACACTTTTTCCTGTATTATTCCCATTTATACTAGTACATTTCCTGGCATGAACTGTCATGTCTGTGATGAGTGACATTTGTCTATTAGCACAGAATCTGGTGATATAGATCACTGAATTTCTGCTCTTCCCCCCCCACCCACTTGATGCCACTTTTGGTAGCCTTATGACTTCTGGCCTTGAAATATAGTTCTCTCTCGCTTTTTCACTTACTACTTACATTACACCATAGTGTGAACTAGTCATCCATAGTACAGGCACGGTAAAAGCTCAAACCTGATTAAAAACATGTGATACTTAGATAGCATTCAAGTTCATGATGGCAACCCATAGTTTTGTAACCCTTAGAAGGAGGAAAGCATGAGGTTGAAATAAGTCTACATACCTGTCAGGGACTCAGGTGAGTCAACATGGGAAGCAAGGAAATTGTTAACAGATCCTTCTCGCTAAGCCTACATGTATATACACCATGTTACAGAAGTTAACTATAGGTCTCCATGTCAGTCAGCATATTGCATTCCTTCAAGTTCCCCATGTTCTGTAATCAGATCAAACTCTTCTGGTAATATCCATTGCCTAAATTTGGTTCTTCTCATGATTCCATTTCCTTGCCTTATATACAGGTACTTAGAAAGTGTGACTGACCTGTTCTGTCCATTTGACATGGTGTGTCATGATGTAAGTTGTTTCTGAGGTAGTAGGGTCACAGTTCCAGCACTTCTGAATCACATCAGTTGCTAATTCTGCCTGTTTCACATCTCCCACAATTATAACCTATAGCTGCACCATGGCCAAATTCTAATACCAGAACCTTCACGTGGCTGATTGTACTGTATTTTGGTAATTCTTGGACTCTGATTGTCTCTACTCTTAGCTGATGTGTCTTTAAATAAAACACCAAGACACTTTTTCTATCCTATTCCACCCTACTGTTGTTGTTTAGTTACAGAAGTTTCCTCATTCCTTTCTACTCTGACAAGCTGTCGACAAAGTTCCTCATACATTCTTCTTCAAATCTCAACTATAGGGTGCCATGATACAACAAGCCATATTTGTTCTGTTGGAAATTTCTACGTAATCAGTAAAGCAAATTACTTTTCTACTCTTCATATAGGGATTTGCTGAGGAAAATGTTTTGACTTAAAATAAATAAAGCAATTGATAACTGAGAGAAGTACATATTGAGAAACCTCACAATTTGTACACCTCACCTAATATTATTAGGTGATTAGATTTAGAAGTGTAAGGTGGACAAGATATGTAACATGCATGTGGGGAAAAAATTGCATACAGAACTTTGACTGGAAGAATTGAAGTCTTGGGGGGATTGAAGAATTAATAACATTAAAATGGGTCTTAGGAAAATAGGTTTTGTAGCTGCTAATGATGTCAGATTAGCTCATTATAGGATATAGCAGTGGACATTGATTGTGTGAAACATTTTTGGAGTTCATAACAGTGAGGAGTTGTTTCAGAGCTGAGTAACTATTAACTGCTCAAGGAAGATGCTCTACCGTGAGGTTTTTTAATTGTCTAGAGAATGATAACTGTTTTGTAGAACTGAAGCTTATTGTGATGTGCACTGTGTCAGTAACTCAGCATATTCTTTATTAGGTTTTTTATTGCTATTGGGGTGGGACTAAGTCCCTTGTACTGCGGTCAGTTCTGGCCTATTATACCAGCCCAGATGATAGGTGAGGGTGATTGTGGAGCAATTGGTAGAATGAAGATTGGCAGGCAACCCGAAGTACTTGGATTAAAACCTACACCAGCGCCACTTTGTCCACCACAAATCCCGCTTGACCAGACCCAGGATCAAACCCGGGCCACCGAGTTGGGATTCCAGCGACTAACCACTTGAGCTATGGCGCGGCCCCTTTATTAGGTTGATAATTATGCTTCTGCTTTTTGTGCATTCCTATGAATTGCTTCAATAATGCCTGTATTCCATATATATACAGGATGTCCCAGGAGGAATGTGCCAGACTTCAGGAGGGTGTTCCTTATATTAAAGTATGCTGATATCACCCAAAACACCTATGTCCAAAGTTGAACGGTTATGGAGATAATGGGCAGAGAAGTGTGAAACTTTGACAGGTGTTACACACTTGCTGATTACCAAATACATATTAAAACTGGCAGGAATATGTGGTTTCTGTAATGTTAATAATGTATGTAACATCAAACTAACTTGTGAGTGACATGAAGCCATTAAATTGAACTACAAAAAAACTTTCACGGCATGTCATAGTTGTCCTTAGGGTTCCAAGCACTATACATGACACATGAATGGCAAGCACTGATATAACATGGCCGACTGTGCATTCTGGTATAAGCTGACTACATAACTGTGCTAAAATACAGTACCTGCTTTATAGTAATTGTTCAAAGTGTCCTCCACCAGCTGCAATGCAGTTTTCGGCACTCATCATGAGGGACTGGGTAGCAGAAGCAGTGTTGCCTGAATGGTGATGTATGTGTTCTGCCGCTGCAAAAATACGATCCCCCAGTGCTTCTTGTGAATCAGCCTTAGTTTAGTAGGCTAACGTCTTCATGTGGCCCCAGAGGTAATAATCTAGAGGCGTAAGATCTGGCAACCTCGGTGGCCATCCAACAGGCTCGCCACGACCTAACCAGCGATTAGGGAAGGATTCATCTGAGTAGTGTCTCACGTGCTGAGTGTAATGTGGGGGAGACCCATTATGTTGGAAGTACATTTGGCTCCTTGTCATTAACGGGATGTCTTCCAACAAACATGGTAACTCATTCCTCAGGAACGCTTCATATGTGTTTCCAGTTAAATTGTTGTGAAACACAAAAGGTCTGATTAACCTGTTCCCAGCCACACAATGCCATACATTCACAGAAAATCTCTTGGAATTTCATTACCATTATCTCATGTGGATTATTATGGGACCACGTATGCACATTTCGTAAATTATTTACACTGTCCTGGGTAAAAGATGCCTCATCACTGAATAAAATGACGCTTAACAGTTCAGGATGAGCTTTTATCCAGTGGCACAAATCCGTACACAGAGCATGGTCGCTAGGTTCCAGATATTGTACCGTTTGATCATGGTAAGGATACAACTCTTCATCATGTAAAGTTCATCTCACCTGCATACGTGATATGCCAATGCGAGAGGCCATTCTACGAGTGGACAGACGCGGACTTCTCTGAACCATCTCAAGAATGTTCTCTCATGTGTTTGTCATTCGTACATCCTCCCTTTCAGAGTGCACAGAAACACTCTGAAGAGAACCAGTATCACACAGTGTCTGTGAAATTCGCGTAAATACACTTTGAGATGGAATCTTTCGATCGGGAAAATGCCTTTGGTATTCTTCAACAGCAGCACGTGCATTGCCACCACAAAATCCATACGCAAAATGCATATCACAATATTCCACGTGTGAAAACAAAAGGCATTTCAGCAATTCCGCACAACTAACCTACCAACCATTCTCAACGCGTCCGCAATGTACCCTGAAGGAATCACCTAAGCTTACGGCTAGTGTGAGCCGTCATCACCACACTCAAGGACAAACATTGATAAGACTTGTCAGCCGACAGGTACAGTGCGTGAACCCGCCAAAAGACCACACTTTTCTCGGGCCATTATCTCCGTAACCGTTCAACTTTGGACATAGATGTTTTGGGTTATATTGGCATACTTTAACATAAGGAACACCCTCCTGAAGCGTGGCACATTCCTCCTGGGACACTCTGTATGTATATGAGTTTTCATTTTACCTGTCAAACACAAAAAAAAAACAAACATCAAATAACTGACTCACATTCCACTTTGTATATCTGAGTTTATTTGCTAGTACAGTGTTGCTACATGTGCTGGCTCATTGAGCCATCATCAGGCGATACATAAACAAGTCTTATACTATTGAATGTATGGATCCATATATTGTTCTTAGTTGTGTATTATGAATAAAGTGATAATACAGCATGCTTGTCTCACTTTTACTATTCACCATTATATGCACAAATTAAATGGTTCTGTACTGAATCTGTACTTGTTTAAAATGTATAAAATAAGCATTTAAACTTAGTTCCAAATGGTATTATATATTGATAGGAGTTTTTGTAATGATTACTTCCAAGGTGTTTTAGAAACTCATGGAAAATGTTATCTTGGCCAGGCTGTTTTTAAGGTTTCTTACTGCTTCTTATAATTCTTCAAGATTAAAGTCTTTGGTAAATATTTCATCGTCCTTAGAATAGTTGTTCTCACTGCTTGTAACCTTGATCTTTTGTTTATATAGTTTATTCTTTCTTTTATTTTCTTTATTAAGTTTATACTGGGTTGTATAGGGTGTGTTAATTTTTTTTTCTTTTTCCCATCTGATATTTATTTTCCCTGAAGCATTATTGGTTGTTCAGTTCTAGGTGGAAACCTGTTGTTAAGTGTATTCATAAACTTACAAATTTTAGTTGGGTCTGTTCTGTAATTTAGGTTTTGTAGAAATGAGTTAAATTATTTTTTTTTAGCTTTGTTTATATTTAGGTGTAATTTTGCTACAGTTTTTCTCCATTGGACTATAGAATCTTGTTTTTGTGACCTTTCTGCTTTTGTCTTGCTAGGTCTCTCAGATTTTTTAATGACTAGTTGTGGGTTCCACAAGGATTTATATTTGACTTGCCTATTTATCCCATTTTGCTTTTTGGAAATTCCAAGATACTTTGTGTGTTTGTTCATTCTGATATCTTCCCATATTTATTGTCAGGATTACTGTTCTGTGCCCAGATCCTGGATCTTCTATTACTTCTTGTATGGTCTGGTATTTAATTTTTTTTGGCTATTATCTTGATTAAAAAATGTTGTGTATATGATGTAACTGTCTACTCTAATGTTGCTTATATGTTGATATTTGTTGTTGGGTCATAGTTGGGTATGTTGAGTGTGTTGTTGGATATGTAGTCTTTATTCAAGCTTACGTTGTTACATCTGCTTTCATCGCTTGTTGAATCCTAACTGTGCATATAATGTTGAATAGTAAAAGTGAGAGAAGCATGCTGTGTTATCACTTTATTAAAAATACATGACTGAAAACAATATATTGATCCATATAGAAAGCACAGTTCAATAGTGTAAGACTTGTTTATGTATCACCTAATTATGGCTCCATGAGCCAAACATGTAGCAACAGTGTACAAGCAAATAAACTCAGATATGCACAGTGGAATGTGATTGAGTTATTTGATGTTTGTTTTTGTTGTGTTTGACAAGTGAAATGAAAAAACTCACATATATATAGTACTTAACAGACAACAAGATGCATTCCTTAAAGCCTGTATTTCCATTGCAGGTGATCCCCAACACGAAAATGGAGCTTGAAGAATGGGAGCATGTGACATGTTTGAAAAATGTAAGTCTGGCATATGAGGGCACACGAAGTGGACTGAAGGGCTACATTGCTGTTGGCACAAATTACAACTATGGGGAGGATATCACCAGTCGGGGCAGGGTAAGACCCAATGAGATATTAGCCCAGAACCTTGGGCACAAAGTAATTCTAAATTTGATTCACCATTGTATGTATTCTTGCAGAGTATTATTTCTTTCCATAACCTCATCACCTTTTGTGATCATCGTTAACTCTCCAGTATCAGCCCATTTGGTCTGTTACAGAAATTAATAAACTTGGTCTTTCCATGTCTTTAGGGAACTCTGAACTATCTTCTTCATCTGGGTTGGAGGTTTATCATATCTCTGGTGACTCTCTCAGACCCCATTGTTTCATCTCAAATCATCTCATCACTTGTTGATACTGGTCAATAGATTTAGTGGTACTGCATGAGCTGTAGAGGTTATGCAGTGTTGCATTAGATGTAGAACTTATTGTGAATGATGAGTTTGGATGGATGTGTAGAAAAGGTTTAATGATTTATTGGCCTTGCCACTACCATTATGATCTGTTTTGAGTATTACAAAAGAATTAATCCATCATTTCAGAGGTTTTCCTTCTCATGGGTTAATATTTTATAATTTTTTGAATGGCTCCTATATCTAACTTCTTTCAGTATGTTCTTTCATTTGTGAAACTTGTAAGTCTGTCGTCATTGTTTCAGTCCTCCTGTGGTCAGAAAGAATGGAACCTGATCTCAGTCAGCACATTTTGGCTGAGTTTAGTCTTCTCTCATCAGTGTACTGTAAGGCTTATGTAGCCTGTGCTTTAGGCATTTGAATCCCTATGTGTCCTGAATATAGTGAAGATATGGTAAATTCACATTTGATGTGATAGCAAACTCACTTTAGTTGATTTGTATCTGTATTCAATCCCAAATCCACCTAACATTTCAGTCTTGGAATATCATCTTTCTTAATTGTAGGTATATTTAATGATTCTCTAAGTTACTCAGGCTATATAGTGTTATATGATGGAATGATTAGTAAATAATGAGTTGGAATAGAAATGGTAGTGGCCTTATTCAGAAGTGATTTGTAAGTGTGTAGGGTTTGTGGTTCTCACAGCAGTAGTTATGAAGAGACTGTCCTCCAGGATATAATGCCAAGTAGTCCATTTAAAGTCAACTGACATTTCAGGTCAACATGTTGCCCTCATCTTCAAGCACAAAACCAGCAAGAAACAGGCAGCAGGCAAAGACTCATCATATACAGCCAAGCTCATTAGCACACATTGTTACAGTAAAAGCTGCAGATACCTGGCACTTCCAGGACCAAAGGCTTGCTGGATAGTGTAACTTTCTGGATATTAGAATGTTATACCTAATATATATCTTAGTGTACCTAGCAAACTCATGGACATACTTAAGCATTTAATTTGTCACTTGGTATATGTCGTAGCATCCTGCAGCACTTCACTAAGTACCAGATGGTTTTATAGTCTCACATGCAGCACATCTTTCTATAAAACTTGCTAAAAGTTTTATACATCATATAAATTTTAATTTATTTAAAGCCAAAACATGTAGTAAATAACTTTCAGTAAGTCAAAATCTATATGACATGTAAAACTTATAAAGTGAATAACTTTTAGTAAGTTTTATAGAAAACATACTGCGCATGAGACTGTGAAACCATTTGTCACTTGATATCCTATCTTGTTTTCCCTTCCAAACTTTCTATTCCCATTTCATCTTTGCTTATATATCATGATGTATATATTATGTAAAAGAAAAACCAACAGGAAACCCAATTTTTCACTCTTTCGGTAACCATATTCACAAATAGTCAATTTCCAGTTAAAGAGCTTTCCAGATGGTCTAGTGCCAGATATCACAGCTTTTACTATATCAGTTTATTCACATTTAAAAGACTCAGACATGTTATAAGTTAATCATTTACAGTTCATCAGTTGTTGCTGAATCAGTTCTTTAAATCTTTAACTTGTCTTGGTTGCCAGGATTGTAGCAGCATTAATGCAGGTGTGAGGCCACGCCATAGCTCAAGTGGTTAGTCACTGGCTTCCCACCACGGTGGCCCAGGTTCAATCCCAGGTCTTGTCAAGTGGAATGTGTGGTGGACAAAGTGGCGCTGGGGCAGGTTTTCTCCAAGTACTTCGGTTTCCCCTGCCAATCTTCATTCCACCAAGTGCTCCACAATCACCCTCACCTAGCATCTGGGGCTGGTACAATAGGCCAGAAGTGGCCGCGGTACCAGGAACTTAGTCCCACCACACTAGCATTAAAAAAAATGCAGGTGTGTTCCGAGACATGCTTTCATTTATTCAGTAAGAGACCAATGTCTGCCAGAGGGTTAAGGTTGAAGCCATACAAGCCTAATTTGAGATACTGTCCAGACATTTGCCTGGAGGAACTGATGAATACTATGAAAAACCTCAGTTGGAATAATCAGTCTGAAGGCCCAGATTTAATCCCCGGATCTTCTGAATATGAAACAGAAGTGCTGACCTATTATCTATAACTTTCAGTACCTTTTCTTCTTATCTCTGACTTCCCATTAACACTCCTCTTCATCTTCCTTTCACTTGACTTCCTGTCACTCCTTTATATGTTTCTGCATTCTAACCTTGCTGAAATCCATGTGCAGATCCTCATCTTTGACATTATTGAGGTGGTACCAGAGCCTGGCCAACCACTAACCAAAAATCGCTTCAAGATGGTATACTCCAAGGAGCAGAAGGGACCCGTCACAGCTATCACACATGTGCTGGGCTTCCTTGTGTCTGCTGTTGGCCAGAAGGTGAGCTTCTGCAGATCCAAATCTAGTAAACATTTGGCTGTCCAAAGATGTTTTAGCTATTGTCACAGGAGAAAGCATGAAAGCTTAATTTAATTTGATGATAGATGCTAGTTCTATGCTGTTTCCCTGGGTTGCCTGCAGACAGCCTTAACCTTTATGAGCCGAAGGACACCATATGGGGACCTTTAAAGTAAAGCCGAGTGACCGAAAGACACCGTATGGTGACTCGCAGTCCACGCATGTGCACAGTGTTTTAAAATATAATTTTAAGATAGAAATTCTTGTTCTACTTACATTATTTTTGGACACCTGCTTTATAAGTAGACTGTCTTCCCTCCTGCATCATCTAACTGAATGTTGCATGTAACTGAATGCAGAGTCCAACGTCGCAATTCATGCAATTTTTCTGTATGTAACTCTGTTTTCCACGCAAAGCACACACACGCAACATCTGTCTCATATTAGCAGGAAGTAGGCCAGTGATGGCGAGTGGTCTCCTGTATTCGTAACGCTTATAAAACATCACAATTTCAACTATGCTGCATGGCCCCATTTCGCATGGAAGAAGCCGTAATTGAGAGGCCGCTCGTAAATCACACCATCCAGAATGTGTTACAGTTTATTCTGAAGGGAAGCGGCCTCCGTAGTCTAGAGGTAGTGTTCCCACCTCATGACTCGTGGTACGCGGGTTCAAATACCTGGCGGAGGTCGTCAAATTTTTAAGGGCGGAAAAATTCAGGGAACAAGTCCTCCGGGAGGGACTTTAAGCTGTGTGTCCCGTGTCATAACTTTACGGCACGTAAAAGAACCTCATATCCCCAAAAGGGATCACTGAGCCAAATTCCAGGACGTTTCCCGCCCAACAATAGTCTCTGAGGCCTCTGATAGATGGGGGAAGCATTATAGACACCGCTAAGCAAGTGGCCGAACTCGCTTGCTCGGCGGGACTGATGGTACGCACCATTTATCGGTAGGGTATAGAGACTGGTAGAATATCATAGAGGGAAGCACAGTCGCGGTGCATGGGGAAACCCACCCTCTCTAAATAACTAACTAACTAACTAATTATTCTGAAGGGAGTGGAAGCAAGTGGAATTAGGTGATATTCCAAGAGCAGTGCCTCTGTCTGGATAGTCTGATATACCGTATATAAACAATCAGAGTTTCATAAGGACAAAGAAGGCTAAGAACTCCCCACACTCCTGTATACAAGAAGTCGACTTGACTGGAGAATGTGCAATGAAAACAGACATCCTCTCCCCTTGAGATAAGACATAGTCAGACCGTGTGTCAGCAGCATGCATTTACACTGCAGAAACGTTTTATGCAGAAGCTTTATGCATTTTTGTGGACAGACGCTCAAAATTGGGGAAAATTTTTTTGGAATCAGTGTAACAATTTTTACAGATTCTAAAATCTGTAAATTACAGTTTCTGATTCTATATACTTTCTAGATAAAAGTAGCGTTTATTTCGTTCGTTTATCACAAAAATTGTAGAAATCACAGCATTTTGAGTAACATGATTACAATTTTTATTACTCTACAATGGCTGGCATTTAAATTAACTTCGTCCCGCTGTCACTACCAGAATTTAAATGGCCCATCTCTTAATGGTTAATGCAGTGACTATATTGAGTTAAGAATTTTGTCAATGAAGTTGTTCATCATGTATGTCTCTGTCCATGAGATATGAAAGTAAGTCAATAAGTAAGTTATAAATGGATATAGAACTTAAACAAATAAGAGTACTGATTTGAAAAATGCTTTTATTTCTCAACATAATCTCCCTGTACATTGATGCACTTGTCCCATCATTTCACAAGCCCCTGAAAACCAGCAACATAAAATTCTTTGGGCTGCTGTCGGAACCAGGCGTGTTCACACGGCATGGCCTACCTCATAATGCATGACAGGTTAGGTTTTCACAAAGTCTGTGCACGATGGATCCGCGCATGCTGACCCCACAACACAAAATGCAAAGAATTGGACTGGCATTACAGCATCTCAATCACTACCACGATGAAGGACACAGTATGCTAGCCTGAATTGTCACAGGTGATGAGTCTTGGGTTCACCATTACCAGCCCAAGACAAAGCATGTGTCAATGCAGTGGAAACATCCTGCGTCACCTGTCAAAGAAAAGTTTAAGGTGACACCATCCTCCAGGAAAATGATGTACACAGTCTTCTGTAATCACAAAGGCATATTTCTCACCACATTCCAGCCTCAAGGACAAACCATAAATGCCAACTCCTACTGTAACATCCTCAGGAAACTTCATCAGGCCATTCAGCGGTAGCATGCAACCTGTCATGCATTATGAGGTAGGCCATGCCGTGTGAACACGCCTGGTTCTGACAGCAACCCAAAGAATTTTATGCTGCTGGTTTTCAGGGGCTTGTGAAATGATGGAACAAGTGCCTCAATGTACAGGGAGATTATGTTGAGAAATAAAAGCATTTTTCAAATCAGTACTCTTATTTGTTTAAGTTCTGTATCCATGTGTAACTTACTTATTGACTTACCTATGTATTAGCAGAAGATAGGCCATTTCTAGGAATAACAAAAGGCATTCCAGGCCTTTTCTTCTAATTGGCCTTACATAATTTTATTTAATGGTTTGCAGTACACTTGTGATGTTATTGTGGTTACTTGTTACATGAATTCCACCATCAGCACTCCTGTCCCAGAAAACATCATCACCTTTTTGGCAGAAGTTTGAAGCTTTTCGGCTTGTTTGGTGAATATTTGTGCAGCCACTGCTTCGAGTGCCCTTTGGTTTCAACATTCACAAATGAAACCCAGGTTTCATCACATGTTACTTATACAATGTGATTGAGAAATGATTGCCATCTTTGTGGTATCGCTTTATAAAAGTCAAAACCAAAGCCATTCTCTGCAACCCATCTGGCACAAAATTTTTTACAGCCTAGCCTAATTTTGATAATCTCATACAGAACAGTGCATGAAATTTGTGGAAATTTACATGAAAGTTCTGAAATTTTGAAGTGCCATAATTCATAGATTTTTTGGGCCACACTTTGAAGAAGATTATCCCTGGCAACAGATGTGGGCCATTTCACTCTTCATTGCAAACATTTGTTTGCCCATCTTTGAACATCTAAACCATTGTCTTGCAGTTCCTTCACTCATTACATTTTGGCTGTAAACTGCACATAATTCACTATGGATTTCTACAGTGCTCATGTTTTTAGCATGAAGAAAGCAGAGAGCAGCATGAATTTCACATTCTGGCAGGATTATTTATCCCAGGACACATCATGTCACTCTGTAGAGAGAAGAACAAACACTAGGTGAAAAGTTGTGTAATGGTTTATGAGACAGTGAGTCATGTGATGCTGCCTCACATGTGTGAGCTCACTCCCACTTCTACATTAGTTGCCTAAGAGAAACAGAAGTTACTTTCCAAATAGCCCTTATAGCACTTATGGGTTGGACTGGCAGGTGGCAGTGAGCGGTATCTGTGCCTCAGTCACCATTGCAGCCTAGGCCTTTGTCAGAAACAAATTGCAGTGAAATCATTATGCGGTGTATAGTGGAGAGATTATCTGTGGCACCTTTAGCTAGATATAGTAATTATTTATTTTGATGGTTCTGCCCATTTGTTACATTTGAGAAAACGTAGAAGCATGTACAGAATGCCTGAGGATGGACTTAGAGGGCTGAAACATGTCGCAGCAGTAAAATAAAGTGTGATTTTAGCAACATTTTAAGAAATTTAAATGTGATTATAATAACATTTTTAAAATAAAAGTTTATGTTACACTAGCTGTGCCCGGCCACACCTTGCTGTGGCTGTCTGCCCGTTCTTCCCCAGTTTGATTTGAAATTACTCGACGCATTGCTTCCGCTCCGTGAGTACGATGACCTAAGTTTGATCTTCTGCAAGGCATTATTTGGATGAATTAAAGCAGATCATTTGCACTGATGAAGCACCAAAAAAAACGAAATGAAAAACAATGAAAAATAAACCATACTCCAGACTCACTTCCTCAGCGGTTATTCCAGACTCGTGATACTGAACAGTCGATGGAGCTACACTCTCTTATACATATAGCCAGCGGTCGGACGGGATAGGGAATACCTAATCGAAGAGTTAGTTTCATCTGTTGCTTAGAAAATGCTAGCGCAGAACACCTTGCAGAAGTGTTTCATTTTAACTGTCGTTACGCAATGGAACCTCAATTCCTATGCAATGGCCCACTGTTATTGCGTTTCCATGGAAGTATACTTTCTGGTTTCATCCGTTGTTATGCAACGGTCTGTTCTAGCGTTACTATGGAAATGACTCCTGGATTCCGAACATGTGACATGTTTTTACCTGTTTTTACCTGTCACAGGCGTGACATCTACATAATAGGTATATAAAAACTCGCGCCTATTCGAATGCAACATTCTCTCAAAATTTCGAAGCAATCGGTGAAGAACTTTCGGAGATCTTCAACCAGAGACAAACCAACAGTTATGTTTTTATTTATATAGTTAGATTAAAGACAGGAACAAGTGGATGAGTGAGGTACAGGTACTTATTAATACAAAGGAAAGATTACAAAGTGTAAAGGTGAAAAGGGTTGTGAGATGTCAAGGCTCCCACATTTTTCTGGACAGACGGCTCACAGATGGTGATGAGGTTGTCAGTGTTATGCTCCAGCCACCCTTTACCCCCAGGAAGATTCCTGGTACTCATTTCTGTTAGAGGCTGAATGCAGGTAGAGGGATTACAGAGTGTATGGTGGCAGTGTTGAAGTAATGGCCATTAATGAAATTTATAAAGTGTCTGTCACTGTATATCTGACTACCGTATCACACACACCTTGACTGTTAAAGTTGGTCAGGTTGTGACTGAAAGAAATTTTTCAGTGTATCAATTTTGGATTTGAGGTGCTCACAGCAGTTACTTTAAAAAGTACTGTTTGCTGGGACGTAATGATTTGTAGTACAGTAGACATTCATATTTGTGAGGGATGGACTGCCTCCATCTGCTTGCGTAGTTTACTCTTTGACTGTGCAGGAGGTAGTACACTCTAAAACATGGATAAACATGTAATCCTTACTTCGCTTATGCTGAAAGAACAGATATGATAAAACACTTTTTATATAAGAACAGTATTCTGTTGGTTGTACCAAATGAGTTTACTCAAGCAGTAATGCTTTTGATATTTATTCCTGATGTGTCTGGTTCAAATCTTGGCCAGGACGACATTTCTAACTGTGGATTTTTGTAGTTTTCCTGTATTGCTCCAGACAGGTGTCAAGATAGTTCTTAACCTTTCAGAGACAGGCTATTTAAATGGTGGTAGTTTCAGCAGGCTGGAATTTATTTAAATGCTCGCCACTCTAGAGGATTAAATTTGTGATCATGTTACTAAAAATGCTGTAACTTTAAAATTTGTGTGGTAAATGAACGAAATTAACGTTGCTTTTATATAGAAAGAATATAGAATCAGATACTGTAACTGACAGATTTTAAAATCTGTAAAAATTCTTACACTGTTTTTTTTTTTTTTTACACCTCCTGCACAGTACGTTTCAGCAGTATAAATGTTGGCTCCTGACATATCAGATAGAGGGAGGGGAAGTTCATATTTGTTTCTGCTGAATCATATTCTCAGATTACAGACGTCGGGGTTCCTTGTAGCATACGTAGTAAATTCTTGGCGACGTTAGATCAGAGGCTTCTGTAGTTCACATTGTACAGTCGTCCAGTGTTTCGGTACTCTGACCTGAGTCATCTCTACATACTTTCATGGCCTCAGTTCGTTTGAAAGAAGATGAAATTGAACGGCAGTTGTGTGATACAGATGATTTTGACAGTGGTCATGACGGAAGCTCCGAAAGTGAAGTCGACGAAGAACCATTATCTTCATTGACAACCTGGGGACAGCCACACCAGCATGACAGGAAGGGCGTTAATAATTTTTCCGCTGGAGCAGTGGAGATAAATCTCAGTGAAGCTCCACACGTAAATAAGGATTCTGCCCCACTCTGTGTTTTCATGCTTTACTTCACAGGCATTATCCAGCTGCTGGTGGAAGAGACTAACAGATATCATCACCAGGACCTAGACAGACTTGAAGACGGATCTTCTACACGCCCTGATGTAACCGACTCTGAGATGTTTCTTTTTCTAGGAATCATCATTCAAATGGGATATAATATAAGGGACAGACTAAAAGACTACTGGTCAACTGCTGAGCAATTTTGCATGCTTTCTACAGCAACACAATGAAACGCGACCGTTTTCTTCACATTCTTCGTTTCATTCATTTTGCAGATAACAATACAGAAATTGACAGGAATGCTGACAGTTATGACCAATTATGGAAAATTTGGACCATCTTTGATACTCTAAATGACGCATATCAGAAATATAATCCTTCTCAGCATTTGTCTGTTGATGAAATAATTGTCAAATTCAAAGGGAGGGTGGTTTTCAGACAGTACATTCCTAAGAAACACTAATGTTTCGGAATCAAAATCTACAAACTCTCTTGACGCTGCTGGGTATACTTATGACATGAAGGTTTACTAAGGGAAAGACAGGACACGTGCCAACCAAGATGTGACAGCAACACATGCTACGGTTAGTGACCTCTGCAGAAGGGTTGAGGGAGTAGGCCACAAACTGTACACGAACAATTTCTTTTCATCACCAGACTTGTTTGATGAACTAGTGACAAAGGAAATAAGTTGCTGTGGGACATTCAGACTCAATCGGAAGGGCTTGCCTCAAGACTTTCGCAACAGACAACTTCGATTGAAGAAAGGTGACATTCAGATTAGGGTGAGAGGGGACGTGACAGCACTAGTTTGGAAGGATAAACGTGATGTTAATATGTTGACAAACTGCACTCTCCTCCAGCAGAAGGCACTTTCTGTGATGAGCATGGAAATGCCATCAAACCATCAATTGCTGCTGATTACAATAAGCACATGGGATATGTTGACAAGGCAGACAGAATGACTAATAGCTATTCCATCAGTCGTACCTGGAAATAGAAAAACAGATTGTTCTTCCATCTCCTGGATCTGATGATTCTGAACAGTTTCATCATGTTGTCATGCTGTGGTGCAAGATTGTTGAACTTTCGTCTCGCCCTTGTGCGAAATATGCTGGAACATGCTGCAGGGGGTCCACCTCGTCCACAACGGCCCATAGGTCGACCTCCTGCTCTGTCATCTGCAATATGTTGATTAGAGGGAGCCAATCAACATCACTGGCCAACTTCCTCAGTCACGAGACTGAACTGTCATGTGCGCTCTTCACGTGGAAAGAGGAGAAATATCCGAACAAAGTGCATAAAATGCGACGTTGGACTCTGCATTTTCGGGTGTTTCCAGGAGTATCACATGAAAGCTAGATTCAGTTAGATGATGCAGGAGTGAAGCCTCTTTACTTATCAAGCTGATGCCGAAAAAGAATATAAGTAAAACAAAGATTTCTATCTTAAAATTAGTTTTTCAGAACACTGTTCACACACGTGGACTACACGTCCCATATGGCACACTTCGGCCATGATGACTGCACTTTAAATGCCCCATACGGCATACTTCGTCTCTTAAGGGTTAAACTAGGTCATGGCCACATTCTTTCCAGTTCTTTGCCCACCATTATCCAATCATTCAATGCTGTATAGAGTGAGTTACTGACATTTTCATAGCGAGTGACTTCTTATAATGGAAGTCTGGACTCAATCCCAGGACAATAAATGTTACAGGATGGAAGTGGAACATGTACTTCTTGAACTGCTCTGGTCTTCCCCTTTGAGTCATCATTCCACTGGTGCCATCACAGCCTTCAGACCTATGACACATTATGGCACATTGGCACATTATGGTCCCCAGATAGGACCTCACCTCTAATAAGACCTCTGTTGTTGCTTCAGATCTACATCTGGCAGCTGAAGGACAATGATCTTGTGGGCGTAGCATTTATTGACACCAACATCTACATCCATCAGCTGCTAAGCATCAAGAGTCTGATTTTGGTGGCAGATGTGTACAAGTCAATCAGTCTGCTGCGCTTCCAAGAAGAGTACCGCACTCTGTCACTTGTCAGCAGGGTGGGTCTGCCTTTATCATATGTAACATAGCCATCCCAGTAGTAGACTCTTAAGACTGCTCACACCCTTCAGATTCATGTGTCAGTGGAAGTGATAGACACCGCCACACCATTACAACTTGTTGCTCTTTCATTATCAGTTTTGCTTCTCACAAAACCTGTAATCTTTACATGTAAAGAAACTACAGGTAGGTCTGCATATCACTTCAAGTAATATTTTAAATGAAGTTATATAAAATCTTGGATCAGACATTACTTCCAGTGCAGGAACAAGAAGAGTGAGCTTTTGTTACCCCTGTCATCTGCCTGAGGCTGATGTTATGACATTATTACTGTATTATCAAACAAATCTGTCCATCTTTTTAGAGATGATGCTATCTGCTCTTGTGCTCCTCAACAGGATTTCCGCCCATCAGAAGTGTATACATGTGAGTTCCTTCTAGACAATACACAAATGGGATTCCTTGTGGCCGATGGAGACAAGAACGTGGTGCTGTATATGTACCAACCTGAGTCACGAGAGAGCTTTGGAGGTAGATTCATCAGCTATTATTATTCATGCACCTGTATTTTTGATTTTGAAATTAAGAGAAATTAAACCACCATCTACCTTATGCATTATGTTCGCACATATTAAAGATGTCAGACAGCTGTGGCACCAAAGTCTTCAAAGGTTAGAAACAGGTAGAAAATCCAGAGTGGGTGGGTTGAGCGGTAGGCCAAGTAGGAAGATGATATATTTGGTGTGGTTTGCTACATGCCATTTGATGTGTGTCACGATGATGCCAAGCAGAACACAGTATAAGTGGATTAAATAATATGCCATGTGAAGAAATGTGATTAGCATGATATGAAGCTTTAGGTGGTAAATAAATGAAAACAAATAATGTTTCTTTTGCTATCAAATTGAAATCACTTTACAGACACCAGATATAACCCAAGTAGATTAAATAATGAGAATAAATTCTTCCACATAAATACAAAATTTAAATGACACACTTTTTTTCCAATTTATATTAATAAAATACAAGAGTGGAGACATACTGTGAAATAATGTGACAGATTTCACTGAATGCATAACTGAAAAATGAATTTGATGAAGTATAAAGACACCCATAGAAATACAACTATTTTATTTCTGGACATTATCCATCATCCTGTTTTTATTTAAAACAGTGTTTCAGAGACTGGATTCTATATCTGTCTTCAGGTGGAACCTACTCAGTTGGGCCCAGTCGATAGAGCTAGTCCCTTTCTCTGGACACCAGCACAAACACAAGTTAGGATATACAAATGAGGCACAGCTCAAGATCATCTGCAGGAGTTAAGACAAACATTAAAAACAGTAAAAGAACTCCACACATATGAGGCCTAGTACTAGAGCACTATCAGAATAGTATAGTATAGTATAGTATTTATTGCATTCAAGCAAATCCAATTACAGGCCAACACCACTGGACACAGAACAAGTCAAATATCTTCAACAAATGCTCCAACAATGGAACTAGTCAACATAAAATATACATAACACAATACCAAGTTTAATTGTAAATAAAATAAGTTAAAATTGTAATAAAAACACATTACATAATAAATTCATTCAACTTAGTAGCTTATATATCTCAAACCATAAAAGATCACAACATCCATCAACTATAATGAGGTATGTTTGTTACATGGCATACCAGTCAAGTTGGCGATTATATCTTACATGTTCAATACCAAATAAAACCAGTCAAGGTATAAGCTTGCTATATACAATGCAGGTATCAGTGCAATTCCAAACAATGCATGCAATATTGAATGAACATAGTAAATTACTACTCATTTATACAACCAAAATATTCATCCAAAGTATAAAAGGATTTTGAATGTAAAAAGGCATTTAAGGCCACTCTAAATTCCTTATTATCATGTGCTACTTCCTTTATTTTTAATGGGAGACAATTAAAAAGTTTAATTCCATAGCAATAAGGACCCTTCTGATGAACTGTTAAATTTGTCTGAGGGCAATATAAATCTAAACCGCGCCTTGTATTGAGACCATGAATCTGTGCTGATGTATGGAATAGACCCTTATTATTTACAACAAATATCAATAAAGAAAATATATATTGGGACTGGAGTGGCAAAATCCCCCAATCCCTAAATGCTTGTCTACAGGAATCCCTTGCTCTTAGCCCACTCATAATTCTAATTATTCTTTTTTGAATTCTAAAAATTTGTACACTAAACGAGGTATTGCCCCAGAAGATAATTCCATAGGTTAAAAGTGAATGAAAATAACAATAGTAAATCATTTTTAATGTTTCGGTAGGCATGATGGGTTTAATAACCCTCATTGAATAACACGCCTTACACAACTTAGGTATGAGTTGGGATATATGGGCCTTCCAAGTACACGTGCTTTCAACAATTATACCCAAGAACTTCGCTTCGGTACTGTTTGGGATCACATTATTGCAATAATTAACCATAACTCCGGTATTAGGACAAGACTTAGCCGCAAATTGTACATGTTTAGTTTTGCTGAAGTTTAGGGTTAACAGGTTTGACTTGAACCACTCATTAAGGCAGTCAAAAGAGATATTCACATCCCTATTATATTGTAAGTTATTATTGCTACTAATCACCAAACTAGTGTCATCTGCGAATAAGACTGGTTTAGCTGTGCTATTAAAAATTGTAGAAAGATCATCACTAGAGAGATGAATTCTCTGTATGGCACCAACATAAAAAGCACAATTTTCTCACTTAATCTACACTGTATGGAGATGTTATCTTTACTTCTGCTACAATAATGGGAGTCCAGAAGGGAGAGATGTCCAAGCTGAGTTGACTGACTGAATGACCTATCAGACATGTGGGCAGATTCCTTGTATTTCCTGAATGTTGTGTTTCATTCAGTCTGCAAAACCTTTGCTTCTTTCCAACAAAATTGTGGCCTTCGTACACAAATCCAGAGGTCCTGGGTTCGATTCCCTTCGCTACCAGATTTTCTGAGAAGTGGTGGGTCTGGAACAGGGTCTAGTCAGCCTCGTGAGGATAATTGAGGAGCTGTTTCAAGGAAGTAGCTGTTCTGGTCTAGAAAATTGAAATTAACCACCATGGGGATTCATTACGCTGACCATGCAACACCCTCTACCCACTAAAGTTGCCACTAACTTCGCCGATAAGCGGTGGCCGCTTGGTGGATATAGTTTGCTTACAGACTAAAGTCACGGAGTACACATGTTGAGGTGAGGTAAGGTAAAGGTAAAGCTCTCCTAGTAACAGACCATGAAGGCCCATAGGGTTGTGAGATGTTGAGGCTTCCACATTTTCTCTAGGCAGTTGGCTCACAAATGGCATTAAGATTTTCAGCCTCATGTGCTGGCTGCCCTTTACCCTCAGGAAGATTCCTGGTATTCATTTGTTAGAGACTGAGTCGACCCCAGGACCATAATGGGGCTGGAAGGATTTGGTAAATTGAAAAAAAAAAATCACCTCATCAGGACTCGAACCCACGACTTTCCAGCTTGTAGCATAGTGCCTCAATCAACTATGCTACCGTGTGCCTCCACACATGTTGAGGTAATTTTTTTATTTTTCAAGAAGACCTTACCTCAGCTTATATTTGTGCTCCTTAATGTGTACTTGTAAAGGTCTGCTTGTTTTGCCGATGTAACATCTGTCACAATCCCATGGGTTATTGTACACACACTGCTTCATCTGCTGGGCATTTCTAACCAGACCAGTTTTCATCAGTGTCCCACGGAGTGTATATTTAGTTTTGAAAATGGTCGTGACACTGACACAATGTCCAGTGCATCTGAATTTCTTGGAAGTGTTCTTAATATTGGATAATTGCAGTGCCCTTGGTTGCTTCTTGATGGCTTCATTATGGAGTCTGTGAATTATTGTGGGTATTCATTAAGTATCAGATCATGTCTTATGTTCTTAATTTCTTTTTTGTTGTTAGATATTTAGCAGTGAAAAAGTTTCACAAATGCTTCAGATTCATACAAAATCCAGTACATTACACAGACATCATTATTCAGTAATTCAACAGTTGAAACCCAAATTTGAATAGGATAACTTAAGTAAAATCTGAGGTTCTTACAGCAGTGGTTATATCTTCTGCTATATAGTGCCATGTTGTTTGTTGAAAATCAACAAGTGACTAGGAAGAACATGTCACCTCCGTCTTCACTTCTAAAGAGTAAGGCGAGCAAGAAACCAGGTTGAAGCAGGCTGCAAGCAAAGCTTTAACTGACAGTTTTTTAAAGGAGCATTTCACTTTGTGCATAGAACTAGTTGACAGTGATATTCTCCATGGCAAATCATTTTTTTTAGATTCATGCATCATTTTCTTCCAGAAGATTTTTTTTGTAAACATTTGGAAAAATGTACATGATGTAACAGTGGAGTACATTGGTTTCATTTACCCCCCCCCCTCAAAGTCTTTCTTCTGAAAGCAGTACTACAGATTGTGTGTAAATGAATTTGTTCCTAAGATAGTCCTGGATATTTGTAGATAAATGTTAAAATGCTGTCACACTTTTGGCGAATTTTATGCATCATTCTCTATTGCATAAATCATTAACAATAAGTGATGCAATTTGTCAGATCATCACATGTCAAAAATTAGAAATTAATAGTAAGTTGAATTTAATTTTTGAATTCTACAGACAGGGTGGCACATGAAATGATCCAGTATTTGATTTAGTATTAATTATTCAACCATGCAGTGAATGATGTGTTGTAACATGGCAACACAGTAGATCATGGAGATCAGTTCTTACTCTTCCTGAACCCACTAGTGTTGCATTGTTCCTGCTCATATGTCAGTTTACGCAAGATGGCTGACAGAAGAACACTGTCTGTAGAACAATGCATACAACGGTGGTGTTCTTTTCTTAAACAAGAAGTATATTGGTCACACAGGCGATTTCATGCCCATTTTCAAATGTGATGAGTGCATTCATTCAAAACAATTCATAAACTTTATAACCAGTTTAATAATATGGTTCAATGTATGAGAGGAAATGTCACCGGCCTTCATCTGTCCATTTTCCGGAGAACATTGACACTGTCAGAGTGACACTGCAAAGAAGCCCCAGTAAATCAACAAGGAAGGCTGCAGCACAACTATGGATGTGCACATGATCGGTGCAACAAATGTTGAAAAGTGATTTGAATTTGTGTCCATACAAAATGACAACAGTGTTCCCTAAACTTACCGTTCAAAACAAACATCAAAGACTGGCAATTGGTGAATGGGCTCAGAATAATGAGATTTTGTTCAACAGAGTTTTTGGTTTTCTGATGAGGCACACTTCCACTTGGATGGTGTGGTTGTTTTACCAAACATGCTTGTGCATGTCCAAAAAGCCTTATAGGCTTTATTGATGACTTTGTCCAGCTGCTTTTTCCATATCAGTCCCTTGTCTAATACTAGACCATGGTACTTGACGTGACTGGAGAGCTGGATCATTTTATTGAAGAGTTTTGTATGTTAGCCTCTAGCATCGCAATTCAAGTAAACATTTTATGAATAGTAGATCAAATACTGGATCACTATGTGCACCACCCTGTAGCTGCAGTCACTTACTCTTGACCCCTCTAGGCAAACTCGAGGTCTGGATTCCAGATTTATATATTACTGGATCAATTATAAAGCTCCCAGAAATGTCTTCTCATGATGTTATCCTCTGCCAGGTCAGCGACTGCTTCGAAAGGCAGACTTCCACCTTGGTCAGCACATCAATACTTTCTTCAGGATACGATGCAAAATGCCCGAGAATTTTGCTGACAAGAAGTACCTCCAGGGAGCTGAGAAGAGGCATATCACTATGTTTGGTATGTATGTCCCAGAATTGGACACATCAGATTGCAGCATCTAGCTGATGTTGGTGCACCAAAGTAGTTAAACCCCAACTCTGGACTTTTCACTTATCCAGATGCTTCTGAGATATTTTAGTAAGATCAGTGATTAATTAAACAAGACTGGGAAGGTATAATCCATACCAGAATACATATTGTGACATGTAAATCCATTGCTAGGTAATGGCTTGTTGCAACACGTCTCCAAAATTATAACAGAGATACCAAGTCCTAGGCAACACATACAGAATCGTTTCTGCTACAGCAGATAGGTAAAGGTTGTTCACACAGCAATGAAAGACAAATCTACAAAGTAGAAACTCTTATAGGTGGAGATCTCTGTACGGTTTGACCAGAACCTTCCTCAGGGAGAGATAGACTACAAGAAGAATCCAGAATACAGAAGACTAGAGATTATATACTGGAGATACATACCAAGCAGTAGAAGCCCAGTCGAAGAACAAGATAGAAGAGAGGAGATTGGGTACAAACCTGCTCACTGAATTTGTACAAGGAGCAAGAGTAGAAGTGTTGAAGACTTTGTGTCTTATTGTTCCAGTAACCTTTTGAAGTGTTATATAAGTATTTATAGGTCCACCTGGTGATTGTCCAATAAATCAATTCATCAGTCCAGAGAAACCATTAAATACTTGTTGCATTATAATGTGTTCTTTGCCATGTCATGTACAGATGGTCACATAAGTATATACGAGAGTAAGTCAGTAAGTAAGATACAAATGGATATAGAACTTAAACAAATAAGAGTACTGATTTGAAAAATGCTTTTATTTCTCAACATAATCTCCCTGTACATTGAGGCACTTGTCCCATCATTTCACAAGCCCCTGAAAACCAGCAGCATAAAATTCTTTGGGCTGCTGTTCGAACCAGGCGGTGACTTCCCTGTCTACAGCTTCATTGTCGGGAAAATGTTCAGCCGAAAGAAGGTGTTTTAAGAGGGCCAAACAAACGGAAGTTGCTTGGAGCTATGTCGGGGATATAGCCCTGACTTCCATTTGTTTGGCCCTCTTAAACATCTTCTTTCGGCTTAACATTTTCCCGACGAAGCTGTAGAAAAGGAAGTCACTGCCTGGTTCTGACAGTAGCCCAAAGAATTTTAGGCTGCTGGTTTTCAGGGGCTTGTGAAATGATGGGACAAGTGCTTCAGTGTATGGGGAAATTATGTTGAGAAATAAAAGCATTTTTCAAATCAGTACTCTTATTTGTTTAAGTTCTATATCCATTTGTAACTTACTTATTGACTTACCTACATAAATTTTGTTTCTAAGGCTTGATATTGTGACATGTTGCGCAACGGAGAACCCCTCTCTACCCAGCAGCAACGTGGCAACTCAGGCCACAGTGACGTGGCGGATGAGTCAGTGCTCCCCTCCGCATGGTAACGCAACACGCGGTGACATAAGACGGCGCGAGGTAAGAGCGTTGCTAGGCTATACGCAAACACTGTGACGTGGCACGCAACAGGCAACACTGCGGCTATATAAGGGAACTGCACAGCAGCTACGAGTCAGTTGTAATGTGGCTATCACAGAGTTAAGTAGTAGTCGAGCAAGTATGTTATCAACAGTTCTCAAGGCAGCTACCTACGAGTTAGTTCCGAGAGAGTTCCAAGTTAGCCAGCAACCAGTCAGTTGTATTCTGGCATTTGCAGTGTAGTATTTGTGATACTGCAGATAGCAGTGATTGTGAATCTGTAATTTGGGTGATTGTAAGTGCGAATGTGAAATAAAATTTGCTATATCAAATACGGCGTGAAGTTATTTGTCGCGTTATACACCCAACACGTGTCCATATATATATATATCTTTCCTCATACTTGAAGTCATATTTTGTAAGAGAAGATACCAGTAGATTTACATATTACAAATTTATATTTTTGTGCAGAATGTTACAGTAGATTCATGTAGCAAATAACACACTCGGCTCATTGTTGGAAAGTACCCAGTTTCAGTCTTGGCCAGGCTAGCTAGTCTGATCAAAATATTCCATTGTTTTCTCATTCAACACCTTACAACCTCAGCATTGCCAGTAATAACCTAGGTTTGAGTTTGGAATGAGTGTATGGAATGTCTGTTAAAAATTGAATGTTTTGCCATTTTAAACAGTTCACCATGGTCATTGTTTATATAAATGGAAAATGTGTGTTGCAGCAACATTGGATGGGGGACTAGGCTATGTTCTCCCAGTTCCAGAGAAGACTTACCGCAGACTACTCATGTTGCAGAATGTTTTAGTGAATCACATTGCACACACAGGAGGACTGAACCCCAAAGCATTCAGGTGAGCTGACTACAGTAGGACAATATTTATCATATTCTAGAGCAGTTATTCTCAGTGGCAACTTAAGATCTTGATGATAGCTTGTTTAGTCCACTGCTCTCTCACTGTATGCCAGTGTACTATTCCAACATCTTGTTACCACCAGCATTGAACTACTGATTTCACAGTGCACCCTATTTTGCCACACACGAACACTGTACACCACTTCTGGCTCATTCAACATGTTGTCAGCATCCAAGACAGGACCCCTCACCAGTTATAATCTCAGGGGATCTTTGACCTATATGTGAGCAACTTTAAAATTAACATTTTTAGATGTTTGTTGTTTGATAATGGTGAAACTCTACCTGTATTGTTTTCAGTGATTCAGACACTTTTTGGATACCATATATTTCATAACCAAGAAGCAGGTTCATGTTTTACTTAACTTTTGATGATTTTCTTTGTGGAGGGGGGATGTGCTCATAAAGGCTGTGGCTCGGAACTACCAAAATTTCACCTTAAGAAGATGCATGTCATTCATTGCTGCGAGACTCTCAAATACAGTTTGCAGCCAGCCATACTTCCTTGCCTGTTTTGTTTTATGTTGTTTTTCTTTTAAATTTCATACATTTCAGAATCAATAATCTTTTTGTTCCCTTTCCAAAAAGCTAAGATTAACACTTATTTATAATTTTGCCTGCAGAAGTAAACACAGAAAACTAAATATATGTTGATGTCTCATGATGCAGGACAGAATTATAATATGAAGACAGGAAATAAATTGAAGAAAGTAGTCTTCTGGGATTTGTCACCGTGTATATGTGGTGTTAACCGACGTTTCAGAGGAACATATCGCCTCCGTCTTCAGGGTAGAAAGAAAAATATAAGAAATCCACAGGCAAAGAGACTGAGAACTGGTAAAAGCAGACTGGTGTTGGAAATATACACAGCTGTGTGAGAGCAGTGAAGGAAAGGGGGAAGGGGAAGTCTACAAGTGAAATCAGTGGAG